ATAAAGTCATCAACTATATCATCATATGATAACATGTGGCACAGAGTCGTGGAAACTAAAGGTACGCAGAATATATTCAATCTTCGTTTCAAAAAAGAAGTACTTCACGACTGCTTTTCGAGCGTCAGTGTTGAGAACAATTCCATTTTCTTTATTTTTTAAAAATTATTGTCTATGACACAAGTCCACACACAAGTATGCGATGAGTACATGACATGTACCCATCGTGATGTATAGTCTTTGGGACTTATTCACTCCAAATGTGAGAAATTAAAATATTAACAAGACTTCTGTGACAAAAGTGAGCCTCATAGCCGCACGGTTTAAAAAGTGCTCAGATATTCCTTAACATGATGATTTGCTGAATATTACTTAATAAAAAGATGGTATTAGTTGATAGATTCTTTATCATTTGTTCTAAAAAACACCCTGTATTACCTAAACACCCTGCAACAACTATGATTGAAGACTGATAATTTTATTTTTCAAATTTGTAAGAGAAAATTATATTTAATATATTGCGGATTTGCTCCACTGTCTAAGTGTGGTTAAAAACTTAACAACTGCTGGATGCAGTGATGACTCGAACACATAGATACACACACACACACAATCACACGAACAGGGAAAAGGCTATCAAAACCCAAATAACATGAAAATGTTGTCATATTTCTTTTAATGTTGTTGATGCTTGTTGCTCTCCTTGTTTGCTGTTTGCTGTTGTGCTATTGCTGTTTGTTGTTCTTCGCTTCTTTGTGTTTTAAGCCATTATGTTAATTATGATTAGGATAAAGGACACACGCTATTATTATTTATAACATTTCAGCAAGGAAGTAACTAAGAAATAACTGAAAACAAGCAAGAAATCCAGTGAGAAACTTGGTCACTTCTGTGTAATGTTGCATTAGGACAATATTAATAACGGAAAATGTTCCGAACTGCGAGCACAATGAAACCGAAAGCAAATGTCCTGAAAAATATGTGATTTTATTCCAGACTAACGACTAACGGCTACCGACTACCGACTACCGACTACCGACTAACAAGTGCATTCGTAAAATAGTTTCAGTAGTGTGAGTGAAAGGATGTGCTTGCCTCTGTGTGTGAACTTTTCGAATTCAATTTCTAATGATGCTTTAAGTGCTTTTTATTTTAATTTTGTTAAGAGCATTCAATATGCTTTCCTGCTGTAGCATTTAAATTTCTTGTAATGCTACAAAATCCAGTATAAGTGTTTCCATGCATACATTTCGATTCTTCGCAGCCTGCTCAACTCGATGAAAACTGAATACTTAATTTTGAATGTGTATTTACATATATCCAGCTTACACTTTTTATATTTGTTTCTGTTGTTTCTGAACATGTGTGGGGTTTGGGAGTACGTAAAGCTCTGTTTATGTCATCAGCTGACTAAATATGCACGTTTCACTGTAAAGATACTCACTCGTATGCCTATATATACATTTAGTGGAAATTCACTTATTTATACAGGGTAAAAAGACAAGCGGATCATTGGCAAACTCTGATTTTTTGATTTTTCTTTATATATATGAGAAAATATTGTCCGGCACTCGGTTTAGAAAGTAAAACACTATAGTGTTTTATGCAGTAGAAGAGGTTTGAGATAAACGAAATCCGACATCGAAGTCCGCGAAATTTCTGCACTCTCCCAGAGAAAACAGGCAAAAGCACAATGGATGACAATGTTCCGCTATTAACTTTCACCGCAGAATGGTCACCACGGTCATCAGTCGCAAACCTGTTTGATTTCTCGGCAAGCCTAGCTCGGTTTTAAAAAATTCTATAGTGGTGATGTGGTCAAAAAGAAGAAGCCTTTGCAAATAAATACAAAATCCGCAGCTTCAATTCGTGCAGCACATGACTTCTTTGTCAAGTGGTTCAGAGGTCCAGTTTACGCTAAAGGCACTATATCAAAGTTACACAGAAATTTTTAACAAATTTCAATAAAATTTTATTTAAATTAGATGTACTTCACTTTAATTTTTTTATTTTAATTTTATTAATTTTCGGCTGTCAACCTGCATTTGAATATTTAGAATTTTTGCAGAACAATGAGGTTTGATCAAATTACAACTAAATAATATTTAAAATAGAAAATATAAGCAAATATAAGAAGTAATAGATTCAAGCAAAATAGAGAGAAGTGAAAATTATAGAAAAAAATAAATTATATACAAAAAAATAAAATTCGATGTATAGAATAGCATTTAAATGGAACAGTTAGTTATAAAATAGTTATAAAAGAAATAAACTTCTATCTTCTTTAAATTATATCCAACTCAACATTATCGTATATACAGATCTATACGAAAATATAGAAGGAATAAGGAATATCTTTTGAAAAAGATAAAAATGGAGCTATATAAACGTGTAGAGTTTATGGAATAAATAGAAGAAATTGTGAAAAAAATGTTAAGCCGAATTATTGTTAAAATTTGGATTATCGAATAAATTAAAGAACTTAAAATCTCCAATTTATTAGAGAGAGAGAGCGCATAAGAAAAGTGTCAGGACGCAATCATTTCGACTAGAACTTGTATGGTGACTAAGGAACTAATCGAAAATCACAACACAGTGTTTAACGTTAGATTATGAGTGTCCAATATGATGAGCCAATGAATGTCATAGATGATTAAGAACAAAGCCAATTTGATTCAATGGAGTTGGTTCTGTCTGATGAAAGAAAAAAAACCAGCGTCTCAATTGTCAGATAAAATAGTTTGTATCATATCATGGATTTCCTGACACTATAAGAGATTATTTATGAATATCATAATTTTCATTGTTCATTAAACAAATTTCATTATTGGCAAAAGTTAATATTTAAATGCGATAGTGAAAGTCTGGATTAGGTTGATTTCAATTTGTTTCGAATAAAAATACATCCATTTTTATATCGTCTGCCATTTTTTGGAAACACCAAAGAACTACATATTGAAATAGAAAAAACAAAAACTAAAGCAACGGAAATTTTGACTATAAGCACCCTGTATACGTGCATAATGTTGGGTGTTTACGCGTAAATAAACTTACATATGCATTAAAACGATTCGCTTAAAGCGAGTTACGAAATGCGGGATTTACTCTTTTTTGGGGGATTTTTATTTTTATTTTTTCGTTTTCTTTTTATTTATTTATTTTTATTTATTTTTCATTCGAATTTATTTTTTTATTTTTCTTTTAATTTTTATTTGCTTTGTACGTGTTTTGATAATAAGTATTGTGCATGAACTGAATAAATATTTTCATTAATAAGATGAAGAATAATGAAAAATATATATGAAAAAAATAATAATAAAAAATAACATAAAGAAAGATGTTAGTAAAGGAATAAACTAAAAGAAAAATGTGAATTTTCGTTTCTTGAAGCTTAAATACTCTACACATAGGCGAATCAATTACATACTTACAAATTACATACCAAATTGCGTTCTATGCTCTCCAACTTATTTTTCAAGTAAAAATCCAACGTTCTCACATATGTACATATATGTACGTTATTTAAAATTTATACCAATAGATAGATCATATATACAAGCAATTTCATCTATCAAAAATAATAAATTAATTAATATATCAGATCAAAAATAATATATTATATTTACGATGTTGTATAGAAAGTGTTAAGTTCATAATCAGAAGATATAGAACATGCATTCCTCAACTCAATCTTTTCATTCCATATTCCTAATAGTGAAAGATAAACCATTTCTTAGTTTTAATTATTATCTTAAAAATAAAACGAATAAATGAAAGGATTTTGTATATTTACCTTAGTGACGTTGAAAATAATCACCTGCAGCTGGCATAAAGAATTCACAGTATATCTTAAACACTTTGTATCTTTGACTGACCATTAGTTGCTGGTTACTGAAATCAATATAATTGAGCTATAGTAAGAGTTACCAGGTACCATAATCAGGGACTGTTGCTAAATCGTATGTTATGTATACCAATTGCATTCCAGGTGTTTATTAATAGTTTATAAAACTTTTTAGATATATTGTCAACATAGGTACCATAGAAATGTTTGGACCGCGATATCTTTTTTGCTATGTTATGAGGTTAGATGAGGTTAGAATAACTGAATATTTGAAGTTCTGAAAATTTGAATTGTTTTTGCACAACCACTTATATTTTCCAATGTCACGGTTTTTGTCTACAAATCTATTTCTAATGATTGGTCTTTGGGTAGGTCTTTATGTACGTTGAGCATTACGTGTTGCCTAGATATTCAAATTCTTTTAGTTTAACTTCCTAGTGTGTTCGCGTCATATAATTAGTTTTTCTTCATTGGTTTTAAGTTCCTTTTTTAGTGGTTTAGTGGTTTGCTTCAGATTTCTGAAGTATTCTTGATAGAAACGTCTGTAATTTTCACAAGCATTGCATTTGCATATCTCTATGTAGATTTATAGCAACTAATGTCATATTAAAAGGACACAATCCCAGAAAATTTTCCATCACTGTGTTAATTTTCAAATATTCCACAAGAACTCAGTTTATAGTTTTTGCTGTATTAAAAAGTTATAATGAAATTTCTATTATCACTTTTTATAATTAACGGAAATAATTTCATAAAATATTCTTATTTTTATATGTACCATTTTCTTATCATATCCGTAGTATCTTATTCTTATATTTTTTAAGTAAGCTAGTAAGCTTTGTATGATGCTGTTATCATTCATAATATCTTTACTCTCCAAAATGTGAAGTGTTGCAATACTTTTGAAAAAAATTTGGTAGTTCTTATGGCAGTCATGGTAATCAACATCATGTTGATCAAATTTTCGATAGTTGCTTTAGAAGTATGCCATTTGGCAATTTCCTGTTAAATTTTATGGACTTTCAGATCATATTTCGGCAATATTAAAAAAAAGACAGCTCAACATAGGCCGATATCAGTAAGTCTTGCGTTTTCTTCATTTTTGGCAAAGTGTTCCCTAATGATGTTATCACCACATTGCATATATTTTGGTTTCTATTAGTAGCTAAAAGATTGCCATTGAATTTTTCTCATATCAAATATGACAGTTTTTATTATTGATAAAGTGTTGATAAAGACAGAAGTGACTTCTGTTACTAATCACTTGTTTATATATCTGACTTAGGAAATAAATTTTTGAAGTCTTTATGTTTGCCGCTAGAAACAGTACTACCAACTAAAAATGAAACTATTAAACTTTACATGCTTAGTATGATGTCTTGTACTATTTAAGGTCACTTCAAAGTCTTAGTCACTTATAATTTATTATATTCGTGCTTAAATGTGAAACTTATTCGAATGCATCTACCATAAAGCAAGTATCTATTAAATTACTGAATTCAATGCTCTCTTGGGCAAGTTTTCCTCTATTACTTTTTCTACAATTTATTTATTTGAAATATCTTGAAGTTCTTTTAGTTCATTTTTAATTAAATTAAAACAATTAAGTTATTACTTGTGTTTGGTATATTTACATATTAATGAAATAGTTTAGTGAAACCTATTCAGTTTCAGTGAAATGAACTAAATTTAAATGCAAATTAAGCAAACAAAGCTGCACTCAATTTAAAGGATTAATATCCCAAACTAGATTCATTCCAGGGCATTGAAATAAAATTGCAAAAATTTTATACTTAAAAAATCCTTTCAAGTACTTTTTAAAATATTTGCTAGTGCCAAATTTTCTGCACTTTCCAACTATATACGTATGCATTTGAAATTGCAAAAAGTTTTATTAAACTTCAAGGATTCCATATTTAGCTTCACATCGAAGTGTGCTACCAACGACTGCAAGGATATTTATATCTACTGGGGTTTTTTTCCACTCTGCTCTTTTTGCTTTCACAGTACGAGCATTTCAGCATTACCAAGAATATTTATTTATTTTTCGATTTAAGAGTTATAGCATCGAACATAGTAAAATAATATATTATATTTTACTTATACTCTTTTAAATGACATTATTCTTCGTATGAAAGGAGCAGCAAATAATTTTTATAGTTTGTATGTAAAGAAAAAAAATTTGTGGAGTAAAAAATCTGCATTAAGTTAAATTTCAAGAAATACCATTTAAATTTCAATAAAAAGATGGAATAACTTCTTCCATCAGCAGGGAAAACTTAAGTAGCATAAAATTAATTAAAAAATAATCGAAAAAAGTACATTAAGAATTATAAGTTAACACAGTAAAAAATATAAATGCAATACAGTTACGTATTTTCTAAGAGTTCCTTCAGAATATAATATAATCATAACAGAACTCATAACAGAAAAACTGTTATTTTCCCAAAATAACACACTTAACCTCTGGCCTAGCAGCTTTCTTTTGATGCAAATCAATGTCAAATATTCTGTCTCTATAGATAGACCCAGATTGTTCATGTGGCCATTGAATACTGGCTATGGTAACCAATCAAATAACCTGTCATCCAATTCAATAGGCTTAGCTATCGATCAGCTACAGATGCAGTATCCATTTTGAAACCAAGGTTAAAGAGGATAAGTCCCCACTTAATATATTCCGGAAAGAACGACTCGTATCATGTGCTACAAGAACTGTGTTAGCTCAATTGAGATTAGAATGTAACTATATGCTAAACAGTTATATGCATACATAAATGCATCCATTTTCAATATGTGTGCCAACTGCAGCTCTGTTTTTCTGCTTCAATGCGCACTCACATTTGAATTCAGTCGATCTTTAGCTCGCCTCATTGAAATGGCTAGGTTTCTCCGCCTTGATCCCGATTGACTTTAATTTAAATCTCACCCATCCCCAATCCATTCTTACTCTTACACAATTTTCTGTCCTGCCACACTACCATTCATATCCTAACACCCATATAAAAGTCTTTCGTAATTCGTTTCATTTTATCTGCTTTATAGGTCCCTGCGAACTACGACAACAACTATCCAACTATCATTAAATACATTTCTTCAAGTTAGGCTCCAAGTTGGATTTAAGGGGCTTGGGAAATTATAATAAAGTTCTATTGTGAATATTCTGTGGCAATTTATGAAAGCTTCAAATAAGTTATTCCTATAAGTACGTAAAAAATTTGAAAAGATACAAGATCAAACACTTATCAAAGCAGTAGTTTGCACTTCTGTTCGCTAAAGGTTTGACAAAAGTTTTAAAATGAATTTGATTTTTTTCTTCTTATAGCTATTAAACATTAAATTAAAATAGCAATTCGAATATGTTAGTACATTGGCTGTAGTTCAAAAACCAGATTTTATAATATATTTAAAAAGGAAAACCACTGAAGCATTTGCAATACAATGCTTTGGTTTGGTGTTGTATTGACAGGAACACAGTGGAAAGCGCGATGGGCGTATATACATCTTAGTGGTGAGGAAAAATTGCATATCGGTACAGCAGCCTTCACTCGCAGTGGTCTATGGTACGTAAAGAACAGATATGGCTTGTTATAACGCAAGCAAAACTAAAGCATTTTTACAAAAAATTCATTGAATTTTTATTCTGCACTTCCCACTCAGTATGACTTAAATTTATGAATTCTATAAAAAAAGTATTACTGAATTCAAAAAAAATCTTATAATTATTTAAAAAATAAAATGGGTTATGAATGAAATAAAACTTTTGGTTAAAATTTAACTGTTTAAGAAAAGTTTCATTCGAACTGTTTTTCCTGTACACTTATTTTGCTTGCAAATTCCATCCTTGCAGGATTCCTTATAAATTAAAATATTTATACAGTCTCATGCCAGCAAATGTGCCTCTCCAGCACTTCCAACTTCCAAGAGGCAAGCATAAAACGTAATCTTGACGCTGCCATATAAAACAATCTCTCATTTAGTAAATATTGCAAGTATTTGGAAAAAAATCTGCTAAAGCCTGTATGAAAATAAGCTGTGATGAAAAAAATTTCATAAATTGGAAAAATTCATAATCGAATTCCTAAATTGTGTGAGCCTGGCAGCCTACGAATCTGCTTTAATATGGGCGGCCGTAACGCAATCAATTTGGCTTTTGTGTACGTTTCTCAGCGTATAAATTAAGTTATAAACTAAACTAAACAAAATTGAACAAATATCTTTTTATTCGCCATACACAAGGACGTACAAGCAAATTATAATCACATCACAGCAGCGAACATATCAACAACAGCTTTTCATCACGGTGATTGTTTTTTGTTTTATGTCGACAGTGTTTTCTAAATCTTCCTTTGCATTTTCCGGAAAGCAATTTCTTCAGTACAGAGAAAGTTCTATCAACAAAAACATTTACGAAGAGTTATTTATGGTTGAAGTTATTTGAGCGATACTTTTACGGAGACAGCAGCATAGACCTGGCGAGTTTTGGTATGTTACTATTGATTATATATTGGTAGTAGTAATAATAATAATATCACAACATGAACACCATCTGGTTTGAAATTAAGTTGGACCACATAAAATATTTTTATTTTCAGAAGTATAATCATTGCAACCAAACATAATCGGAATAAAAATATGCAGATATAAGTGGTACACATTTTAGTTCTATTATATTGTACTTTCTTCAAAAACTGATGAAAATTATATATGCGTTTTATAAAAAATAATAAAGCCCGTTATCAAGTGCTTTGAGCGGAAAATGCGAATAAAATTTCTTACAATTAGACACCAAGAAATATGTTCATTTTGTTGTTTGCCAATTTATTATTTTAATGACCAAATTTAAATAATATATTTTTGTACGGACTAATTGGTCAATGTTATATAATTTATAGTCTATAGTTGTGCATTATCCAATAAAACATGGATCAAGAAAAAAAAATATATAAAAACCAGTAGTATACGGCGAGAAACAAACGTGTACTACACTGTTTCAATGTTTCAAGTATATGCTTACATTATATCAATAACAACACACCATAGCCAGAGCGGGTATATATGTGATAACCCTACTACACCCATAACTCTCCTAAAAGTATACTCGAAACTACTTTTTTTTGTGTGGACTAGAAACTACTAGATTATGGCCACTGCTTTCACACAAACTAAATTCCTTCCCCTCATTCCTATAGACCTTCTCTTATTTCTATAGACCTTGTCTAATCCTTGTTTAAATAGTCTTGGGCAGAGACTGAAAAATCACATCTCTAAATTTAACACTTAGTTAGACATTTAGTTAATGGGGTGTTGTATTTTTAATGCTCGAGTACAATTAAGACTACAATATATTGTTTGTGCTAACAACAAATCCTAATCGAATAAAAAACATAGTTACGTTTTTCCTAACATCAAATAGGGAGTGGAGCCATCATATGCTCTTCTTCCAACTTCGTTTAAAGTCAAAATATGACTATAGGCCTCATTTGCATTAACGCAAAATGGAGGCTAAGTCTTATAGAAAAGAATCATTTTATTGAGATGGTAAGACTCATTGAGATGGCTCAATTTCTGTTTAAACTTTTTTTATTCGTATAAAATTCAGAATCGCCAATTGTCAATATTCAATGTATTTTGATAAGAGCTTTCACTGTACTTTTACTTACTAACCCATAATTATATAGTATGGGTATTAAGTGGCTGATATGTGTATATGTGAATAAACTTGCGTACATGTAAATGTTTTAGTGCATGTGTGTAATAAAAACACGTATCACATCCAACCCAACCCAACCCAATCCAACCCAATCCAACCCAATACATCGTAAAATAAGACAAAGGCAGTCACACTACAGAGAATCGTATCAGAGCAGCAGCATGCAGACTTCTTGGCCAAATTCATTTAACTGTTTCCTCCTTTATTTTCCCCGCCATTTCATTCCATCAGGCAAAAAAACAAAAACACATAACAGAACTCGATTTGCATCACACAAGGAACGAATCCAAAGAACTTGCAAACGTTTTTGATGGCATTACCATACAAATACCAACAATAATAAGCCAATTTACAAATAAAACAGCAAACACACACTCTCACACACACACACAACTGTACTATACGAACAGAATAAACTCCGAACTTGAACATACACACACACACAAGCACACCGCCAGAAATAAACGTACATTTAGTGGTTTTTTATATTTGCTCAACTGAAATGCGAAATGACAAATTTGAACGCACAAAACTACAATTTTTTACTTAGCATTGTTGTTATTGTTGTCGGTGTTGTTGTTTGGTGTTTGGTGTTGTTGTTTTATTATTCGATTTTATGCAAATACACGCGCTTGTAAAATCAATTTCATCAATGTAAGCAGCCGCTTAATACTTTTTCAATTGTGTCTGTATGGGTGGGGTGGTGGTGGTTAGCAATAGTTGTTGTTGTTGTTGTTGTTGCTGCTGCTGCTGCTGCTGCTGTTATTTGCTTGGTTTCATACATGTTTATTCGTGGCATTAAATATTTATATTATTT